CCGAGGGGTCCCAGACTGCGAGAGGGCACAGGCCGGGCTGGGGGACCCCCCTCCCCCTGCCCCCCGAGTGCACAAATTTTTGTGCACCGGGCCTCTAGTCTATACTAATAATAGAGAAATAGCAAATTGTCCAGGATGCATCGGAGTAACCAGGGGAAAACATCACAGTAACAGTAACAACCAAACAGCAGGCTGCGTGGGGCGACCAGGCCGGCAGGAGGGTTAGTGAAGGACGACCAAACGACTGAATAGCAGGAGGCATGGGGCAACCAGGCCGGCCGGAGGGGGCAGTTGGGGGTGACCAGGCTGGCATGGGGGGCAGTAAGGGGCAACCAGGCCGGCAGAGGGGGGCAGTTGGGGGCAACCAGGCTGTCGGGGGGGGCAGTTGGGGGTGATCATGCTGGCAGGGGGAGGTGGGTAGGGGGGATCAGGCTGGCAGGGGGGACAGTTAGGGGCGATCAGGCAGGCAGGCAGGTGAGAAGTTAGGAGCCAGTGGTCCCGGATTGTGAGAGGGATGTCTGACTGCCAGTTTAGGCCCAATCCCCAGGATCGGGCCTAAACTGGCAGTTGGACATCCCCTGAGGGGTCCTGGATTGGAGAGGGTGCAGGCTGGACTGAGGGGACCCCCCCCCATGCATGAATTTCGTGCACTGGGCCTCTAGTTTTACACATAAGAAACTGACAATAAATCATGGCAAAACTGTACTTAAACTTTGATTTTCTAACTCCATGTCTTTTTAGCAGGCCTCTTTTGTCAACGATGAATTCCTGCCAGACTCTTGGCTGAATCTGGGAATATTAAGATGAATAAGACATGGTTTAGGTTCTCAAGGAGATGATGACTTAGTTGATGACAGGCATGAGAACAAATGAACAGAATAAGAATAGTCTATAAGTGCTATTGAAGGAGTAGAGTATGGCAGACAAAGAAGTGATCATGGCCTGCACATGCACACACAATAAATAGCCATTTAATGAACTCCTTTAATCAATATTTATTGAGCAACTACTGTGCGTCAGGTACCACTCTGGGTGCTGGAGATATAGCAATGAAGAATACAGATAAAACACCTTCCCTAACATTCTGGTGGAAAAAGCTTGCATTCTCATATCAAATATGGACAGACAGATGGATGAATGGATGGACAGACAGACAGACAGATGTGTCAAGGGAAAACCATGGAAGTCTTCATAGAGTAAATGAGACTTGACCTGAGTCTTGGAAACCTGGAGACAAGATGTTGGCCAGGGGAAGGTGTGGGCCGCAGAAGGCCCTGAGGAGGAGCAGCACAGGGAGAACCACGAGGGTGCTCATCAGTCAGGGCCCTCTGGGGATCTTCAGGTGGCTCCCTCTGGCTCGAGGGCTGGGGTGGGCACGGGACAATGGTGGGGAGGCAGGAACTTGGATTTGTCCTGCCGGTCATAGGGAACCAGTGAAAGGTTTTAAAGAACATTTATAACAAAGACACGATACTAGGAAAAATTCTAGGGCAGTCACACGATGGAGGCAGTGTAGACCAAGCTGGTTTTGCTCAGTGGGTAGAGCGTCAGCCTGCAGACTGAAGGATGCTGGGTTCAATTCCAGTCAAGGGCACTAGCCCGGGTTGCGGACTCGATCCCCAGTGTGGGGCATGCAGGTGGCAGCTGATCAATGATTTGCTCTCATCACTGATGTTTCTATCTCTCTCTCCCTCTCCCTTCTTCTCTGAAATCAATAAAAATATATATTTTTTAAAAAGAGGCAGTGTAGCCTACAGGAAAGAGCTGGGTTCAGAAATCCAAGAAGCCATACTCAAACCCCAGCTTTGGACCATCATGTGGCCTTGAAAGAGATACTTTACCTCTTGAGCCTCAACTTTTCATCAATAAAATGGGTGTATTACCGCCCACCCGACAGAGCTGTTGTGGTGATTAGAGATACTGTGTACAAAGTGTGTGGCATCTAGCAGGGGTCCCCAGGTGATCCCTGGACCACTTAGGCTGCGTCAGGGCAAAGAGCCTGGCCTCCCTGACGGGCACCACAAACTGAACTGCAGAGGCTGAGCCGGTCCAAACGAAAAGTTTTCAGTTCTTTCAAAAAGAACCTTAACGGTACACTAGTGCACTCAGGGCTTATGCCCATGGTTCTCACGACAGTCTAGAAAACTGACCCAGCATTTTCCTTTAGAAACAGATCACTTCCCAATTAGCCCATCAACCTTGATATGTGCATTGCTTTAGGATAGCCATCTGCTCAAACTGACACTCTTTCCTATAGGGTTTGAAGAAACAGCAGCCATTATTTCTCAATAAAATCATTCCATGAAGGCCAGTTCACGACATTCAGTTCATCCTCAAATAAGCCACATTACGATGAGCAGCACCCACCCACCTGTCACCCACCCAGGCATGTTCTGAAATACACTCACTTCACAAGCTCAGGTCTCCGACTAAAGAGAAAACTACAGTACACAAGAGTCGGTCATAAGGGGTTCCCCCCACAAAAGGAGAGAAAGGCCTTGCTTCCCTAAAACAGAATTAAAACGTTCAACACTCTATCTAGAGACCCAATGTTATAAAAATGCCACTTTTCTCTGGTCACTGCCCTGGAAAAAAGAGGAAAAGACAGCTTGCAGAAAGAATCTGCACACACTTTTTCTGTCCAATCAACTTCTGTGCTGTGACCCCCTCCCTACCCCCAGAGCATTCCCTCCCTTCTTCCTCCCCTTCCCTGGCCCACATACCTCTTTGGAGCACCAGGCACATTTGGGGTGGATTAGCAGGCATTCTTCACAAGAGGTGGCACTTCCGCGAGTGCATTCATTGAGACCTTCAAAGCAAGATAAAGGTGCACCAATCAGTTCCTGGCCATAATCCCTATGGATGAGGCCTTTGAATGGGCCGGGAGGAGGAGTCCCTTCCTTTATGAATGGGGAGCCTGGGTAAGGCTGCAGGGAGCAGGCCCCCGGTGCTAATTGCAGGTTAAGGCTCATGGGCTGAAGCCAAACACTGGGATTTTGAAGCACCCACCAAAAGCATGCACACCTGTGTTAGCACCTCCCCTTTCTTCTGCTGGACACACTTGGATTTCCACCCCCTCCTCATACCATAGCAGGTTATACATAACAACATAACATAATATAACATAACATAACATAACATAACATATCAGGCCTCATTATACTTTCAGCCAAAATTACAAAAAAAAAATTACAAAAGAGGAAATGAAAGAACAGATCAGTCTCCTTCAGGCATAAGAAATGAAAATCCTAAATCGGGTGGTACCACACCAAATCCACAGTGCACCAAAAGAAGCCAGCACAGCCCTTAAAGAAGAATGTAGCCCAGGAACACAATGCGGGATTAAGATAAAGAAAATCCATGAATTCAATATATCTACTGCTGGGTCAAATAAGACAAGCCATATCATCACCTCAGGTAATGAAAAGGCATTTGATCAAATTCAAAACCTATCCCACCAAAAAAAAAAAAAAAAAAAAAATCAGAAACTAAGATTAGAAGGAAATTTTTTTATTGTTGTAGTTACTTATTTAAAACCCAGGCCATCCCCCTCCGGCAATGGTGTTGAGGTGAAATCCATTGTCCCCTCCCCTCCCTCCACTCCACCTTCCTAACCCACCCTCTGACCCTGCCCCCACCTCCCAGCAGCACAGGTGAAACTGCTCAGCCCTTTCTTTTCCTTCCTCTCTGAAACATCAGGACAGATTTTTTTCTTGACCAAAAGCAGAACTTGATGGTTTTTCTCGGAATGAAAATGACTCTATTTGGTCCTAACAGACCCACTGGTCTCTCCTAGAGACCTAGTTGCCCAGAGCACGATGGGCGGAATAAGGAAAACCCAGCCATGGGAAGAAGGGCTCAGAAAGTCGAGGGGGAAATAGTCAAAAAGAGGAAAGGGAGAGAATGGAAGAGAAAATACAGGGAAATAGAGATCGTTACCTATCTCCTAAACACCAGAATAACTTTTATTATAAGGCATCTCGAAACTGGAGTATTTCCCTAATTTGCTCATTTTAACTCCCTGCTTCTCCTTTGTCACTAGACATAAAATCACACAGGAACTGGGTGACACAGGAAGCTACACTGGGTCTCCCCAAGGGACACTGGAGGGACAGAATGGTAGCTGGCATAGGCGGGAGGAGAAATGGGCAGGACCTGAGTTGCTGGGAAGAACGAAAGGGTGGCTTGAGGTGAAAACAATGGTTTCTACCAGCCACAGACCTCCTGAACCCTGGGTCCCTGTCCCCCTGCCATCATTCTGTAGGGACCCCTGCCTCCCAGCCACGGAGCTGGCATTGCTCAGACACCACCTCACTGCCAGTCCTGCGGCAGGGCCTCCTGGGTACAGCCCTGGACGAAGAGCACACTTGCCCAGAGAGACAGCTCGGACCAACCAGGGTGCATGACCTCACTTGAGCAGGGTCCCCTCCCAGGTCCAAACACTGACCGAGAGAATCTTAGACTCCTGCCTGCTGCCTGCTTACAGTGACTTTCAAACGGGCACTTTCGCCTTTAGGAAAGAGAATGTGTGCGGGATACACTTCAAATGCCAGTTGCATTTTTTCGGTCCAATTCCCTTACCTGTCAGAAACCACCACCTGAGGGGGGGAACAATCAAATCTAGAATGAAAGTGACTTTCCCCTGCTCTCCTCAGCTCGTCAAATACAAACTCAGGCCCTCGTGCTTTGATGTATAAAATTATTTCCATACAATCATGGAACTACAGAACCTTGGAGCTAAAAATGTTTTAAGATGAGCGAGTCAAGCTGCCTCATTTGATGGATGAAAACATGAAAAACAAGAGTGATTTGGAACCAGGAGCCCAGTCTACAAGGAGAGGTCAGAGAGGATGCTGGCCAGCAAGTGCCCATGTGGGGACCTCCTGATGGTCCGGCACCCTGCCAGACTCAACGCCACGTGACAGGGAGTCCCAGCGTCCTCTGGAAGAGATCTCCAACAGGCCTTTGGTCAAAAAGAAACTTGAGATCGAATATCTCATCTATGTCTCTGAATCCACATAAACTCACAAATACCACTTTCTAATTACCAGGGCCTCATCACTGAGCTCTGGGAACTTGGAGTGTGGGGGGAATCTGGGCTCAGAGATCCTCGGTTCTGACCCAGATGAGACTGGGCTCTAACCCTCTGCGTTGCCAGCCTAAGACCTTAGACCAGCGGTGGGCAACCTTTTTGTGAGTGCGTGCCAAAACCAGCAAAATCTCTGACTCACAATTCTTCTGCGTGCCAACCCTAATTTTTTGAGAACATGTTACGCCTACTTGATCTCTCTTAAGGTGTATGTATGTGAAGAACCTTGAAGAAATAATAAAATTCATTCGAGCGACAAAAACACAGTATATGATGATGAAAAATACATTTATTTTTTAATGTATATATGTACACTGATAGTCCGACAGAAAACTTTATGACTCTGTTTGATATTATCAGTGGGACTTTTGCTGCTGCATCACTGATGACAGAGATTTTACATCAGGTTTATATTTCATGATCTTCAGAGATATGCACGAGCTACTACTTTCATCCGTCAGGCTACTCCTATTACGAGACTTAACAAAATTCATCACTGAGAACAAAGATTCACAAACGTATGTGGATGAAACCAAAACACTGGTCGGATCTAGGAAGGCAGAGAGAGTTAAGGCAGAGACATAGAAATTGCTCTTCCCCTCTCTCGTCAATCCACGTCTATGGTCTTTAAGATAACTTGTTATGTAAAATTATTTATCTAAGATGCACCTACACTGAATTTATCTGAAAAATAAAAAAAGTCGATATTAAGAAAAAAATTGTAAATGAAAGATTATAAGAGAGGGTTTCGCGTGCCAGCAAAAGTTACTGGTGTGCCATGTTTGGCATGCATACCAGGGGTTGCCCACCTCATAACGAGTGCCAGTCAGTGTTATGAGCCTTAGACATAACACTGAAGAGGCTCAAATGTGACAGACTGTAAAATATCTGTCATACTGCGTTGCTAATTGTTTATAGTTTGTTATTAACATTCACACGCAATAGTAAAGTAGTTTTATTGTGCTCGAAATTATTCCCCTAGAATTAGGTTGCTGTTGGAACAAAATCAAAGTTTAAAAAAACCCGCACTCAGCATGCCAAGCACGGGACTAGGGGATGCTAGAGGTACAGAGACGAGTGAGCCAGGCCTTGCTCCCCAAGAGCTCACAGCCTGCCAGGTACAGGCAGCAGACAGGCACTCTAGGCACCGACGGCAAAGGCTGTGTGCTGATACGTGTCATGGTGCCAGAGTTACTCCCTTTGGCACCTCTCCCCTCTCCACCTATTAATGTTTCAGACAGTTTGGATTTGGCTGGATGAGTCACTCGGCACCAATAGCACTGCGAAAGGAAGGAAGCAATGAATAAAAAGCTAAACAGCCCGAGTTCACAAATGTCAGAGTGTTGTGTCTAGGTCACGGAAAGGCGCTAGCGGCACAGACGAAGGCCACATCTTTTCTTAGTTGCTGTTCGTGTAGTGACTACTCCCAGCTCAACTTCAACTGCCTGCAGCGCTTAATGTCTCTGAAGCCTGGGGTTTACTGCAAACCATAATCTAAAAATATGCTCTCCTTCCGAAACTCATTGACTCACCCCTCTCTTTCATCAATCATATCCAGGCGGCCATCATGTCCGGCTGATCATTCCTTCAAGATGTATGAAATGTTTCTTTCAGCCCAGTCCAGCCCTTCCTGCCCACCCCCTCCACCCCACACAGTCCACGCCAGGCCCTCTGCGGATTCCTGCAGCAGCCTCCTGGCTGGCCTCCCTCCCTTCTGCCTCTCACCAGCATACGTCCAAGGTCAACACCTCCTGAAGCACATATCCAGCAGTTGAAGTTTCCTGACCAAAACATTCAGTGGGATAGCAGGAGTGAGCACCAGGCTGGACCAGCCCTACCGGCTGGGGGAGAGGAGACCAACGCTATTCAGGTGGGAGGTGGGAAAAGCATGATGAGCACATGGGGTGTACGCTCTTCCCTGGGAAGCACATGAACAGTAGCAGACCATGACATTCGGAGCAGTTAATGTCTGTGCCATCACCTTCAAGATACAAGTGAGAAGCCAGGTCAGAGAAATACAGTCCTGAATTACATTGTAGTCACTGTTTTCAAGACAACAGAAAAAAAACAACATTTCATTATTCGTTTTTTTCTTTTTTTTTTATAAAAAAATATAATTTAATTGATTTCAAAGAGGAAGCGAGAGGGAGAGAAAGACAGGAACATCAATGATGAGAGAGAATCATTGATTGGCTGCTTTCTACACACCCCCTACTGGAGATGGAGCCCACAACCTGGGCAAGTGTGTGCCCTAGACCAGAATTGAACCTGGGACCCTTTAGTCCATAGGTCGACACTCTATCCACCGAGCCAAACCAGCCAGGGCACATTTCATTATTCTTGTTTAAAAAAGAAAAAAAGTTGGTAAGGTGCTGGCATGCTTCTCCCTATGACCTGAACTACATCTGCCACATTTGTCCACACAATAGATCAATTATTCCCAGTACAGAATCCAGCAACTAAATGGGCATGGGGGGAAGAGGGATTTGAAGATGTTACTATCTATAACAATAAAAGAGTAATATGCTAATTAGACCAGACGTCCTTACAGACGAAGCCGGGGCTGCAAGGGAAGCCCGGGTCCCGAGTTCCAGAGGGAAGCCCGTGCCTGCAGCCAGGGGAAGAAAGGCCTACTCTTGCACGAATTTCACGCATCGGGCCTCTAGTGAAATAGAATATGCTCTAGGTAGACAAACAACCAGCAAAGAAACAGCAACCCTA